TGTGTGTGTGTGTGTGTGTGTGTGTGTGTGTGTGTGTGTGTGTGTGTGTGACGGGGAGGATGGGGGGCAGCTGGGCCTCCACTTGCCTCCTTTCTCTCTCCTCTTCAAAGCCCATCCCTCCAATAGCCCAAGTTGTGTTGTGTGTAGCATTTTTTTTTGTCAATGATCAGCTCTTTCTGTAATGAGTGTAATTCCCCTAATTACAGACTGTAATTAGCCCTGATCCTAGAGATGGGAACAGGAGGAGCCTGGGGCCCACGCACTGGTGTTGCTGTGTGGCTGGTGATGCCAAGCTGCCTGCAGCCTGGGTGCCAACCTAAGGAGAGTGACTGGGACAGGGAGAAAACGAAGCCCCCCCATATCCCCAGCAGGAAAAAGCCTGAGCCCCATCTTGCAAGGTGACAGGAGAGAAAGCCAGTGTTCTAGGAAGCCCCCTGCCCTAGGCACAAATGCCATTTTGCCTGGGCTGCCTAGAACAGATGGGCAGGATGCTCCATTGGCCCCCAGCTTCTGACCCTATGCTTCTCTTGGGGCCTGGGGCACCCAGCTCTCTGCCTCTGCCTGATTTCTCCAAGGATTCCATGCCAGCCCCTCCTCCTCAGCTACCAGCAGGAAAGAGAAGGAAGAGGCTACTTCTGGAACCTGCCTCCCCCTTCATCCCATACCTGGTGCAGGACTCAGCCCCAGAGATATAAATGGGAAAATAACAACAGATTGTGGTGAAGTATTCCCTGGCGAGCCGCTACCATGGCAACAGGAGGCAAATTAGCAAGGGAACAGCACTTTACCCACCATGGGTACAGGGGACTTTGTTCGGCCCAAACTACAGGGTCTGGCCTCCTGCTCCTCCATCCCTATCCAGCTCCACCCCCGCCAAGGAGCCCCAGCGCCTGAGAAGGGCAAGGGAGACCTCAAACATGTCCCCAGGTCACTGCTCGACGCATCAGCCCCTCCCTACAGCAGAGTATGCAACCAGGACCCCATCTCTGCCCCCAATGTCGCCCCTTCCTCTTCCCACTCACCCTCCACCGAAGAGAAGAGGAAAAGGCTGGGCTTAACTCTAGAGTCTAGACTTAAGGGGTGGGAACCTTCGGCTGTGAGGCCACGTGGCCTCTAGGTCCTCAAGTGTGGCTCTTTCTTCTGTGAAGTTTGGATTCAGTCAAAGGGCCACACTTGAGGACCTAGAGGGCCACATGTGGCCTCAAAGCCACAGGTTCACCACCCCCAGTATAGACTTTCTTATTTCCCATACAGACTCCTCAATCTGTTGAGCTTTGGGTCATAAAGGTGGCACAGTGGATAGAGCACCAGGCCTGGAGTCAGGAAGACCTAAGTTCAAATCCAGCCTCAGACACTAGCTGTGTGAGCCTGGGCAAGTCACTTAATTCAAATGAGCCGGAGAAGGAAATGGTAAACCACTCCAGTATCTTTGCCAAGAAAACCCAAATGGGGTCACAGAGAATTGGACAGAACTGAAAAACAACTGAACAAATAGATCAACAAGGCTACAAAAGGGAGGGAAGTAACAGGGGAAATCTGACTCTCTCTTCAAACAATGTCCTAAGCACAGTCTGTGACGACCCCCAAACATCAGGGTGTAGGAGATACCAACCAGGATAACGTGGATCTCCTAGGGATCCTCAGATCCTAGAGAGGACCTCAGCAGTCCAACTAACCCTAACCCTAACCCTAACCCTCCATTGTACAGATGGGGAAACTGAGGTCCAGAGATAAAAGTGCTAAATGGCCTCGGAAGAATTTGAACCCAGATCCTCTGAATGCAAACCCTATAGACTTTCCACTATCCCCACCATTCAGGGTGCCAGATGAGAGAGAAACGGAATACTTGGAGTCCTTAGGAAAAGCTGTCCTGCCTATATTCTCCCCACTGAGCTCTAGAGGAACGGGAGCAGGCCAGCACTGCTTGGTCCACCGGAGGGGAATTGCAAGATGGCAGCCCAGCTCCTAGGGCTGGGCAGATCTCAAGGCAGGGCCATGTGGAGAAGCCAGAGATAAAAACCCATCCATCCTGTCGTCTCCTCCTCCAGAATGCCCTAGGGAGAGGCAGCTTACAGTTAGAATGGTACAGAGAGAAAGACTCTGTTGTAGCTAACACAATAGAGACTAAATCTAAGAAGAAGAAAAAAAGAGAGAAGAGACTAACTCTCTCATGGGACCCTAGAGAAAATGAGTACAGACTGTGGACTCCTGGGTGCCCCTTAAGGCTAAGTCCTCACACGTGTCTCTCCCTTTAGTCCAGAGCAGAGGCTCCAAAGTCCAGTGAATAATATAAAGGAATACACTCATGATTATCAATAAATTATAATAAATTATTAATAGCATAATAATGATCATCCTTAATCTCATCAGTATGAACAGTGTACAGAGACAACTATCAAGTAACACTACACAGTGGTTGCTCTATTCTTTCCATATCCCCAGCACTTAGCATACAGTGCCTGGCACATAAGCAGTTAAGCTCTTAATAAAGCTTTAAGTAATAAGTAAATCTGAAGGAAGCACTTAATAAGTACTTTCTCTAGCTACTGCCCAGTTTCTGATGGATACCCCAAATCTTTCACATGCATCATCTGGCTTTCCAACAGCCCTAGGAAATGGAGAGGGGCAGGGCTCATTCTCCCCATTTTATAGATGAAGATTGTTTCAGTCGTGTCTGACTCTTCGTGACCCTATGTGGGGGTTTTCTTGACAAAGACACTGGAGTGGTTTTGCCATTTCCTTTTCCCATTCATTTGACAGATGAGGAAACTGAGGCAAACAGGGTTAAGTGACTTGCCCAGGGACACACAGCTAGGAAGTGTCTGAGGCAGGATTGGAACTCAGGTCTTCCTGACTCCAGGCCCAGCGCTGTATGCATTGTGGCACCACCTAGCTGCCCTTTTGACTTTTACAATCCACTAAAACCTGAAGACATTTCTGCATCATCTAATCTCCCATCTTATACTAATGAAATTGACTTTTTGCCCCCAAATACAAGACTTTACATTTGTCCCTCAATTCAATTTCATCTTATTAGATTGAGTCCAACATTCTAACCTGCTGAGATCTTTGGGAATTCTAATTTTGTCATGTAGTGTATTGGCTGTTCCTCTCAGCTTTGTGTCATATGCAGATTTGATGAGTGTGCCATTTAGAGCATTATTCAGTTCATTGATTAAAAATGTTGATCAACATAGGACCAAAGACAGGCTCCTGGGATGCTCCACTAGTGACCTCCTTTCAAATTGATATCAAGCACCAATGATGCTCTTTGGATCTGGCTGTTCAAATAGTTCCAAATTCTCCTAATTGAAGGAGAAAAGGAAGGAAACATGCATTTGTTAAATGCCTACTATGAGCCAGGCACTGTGCTAAGCACTTTGCAAATATGCTCTCATTTGATCCTCACGAGAACCCTGGGAGATAGGTGTTATTACGATCCCCATTTTGCAGTTGAGTAAACTGAGGCAGACAGAAGTTAAAGGACTTGCCCAAGGTCACACGGTAAGTGTCTGCGGCTATGTGAACTCAGATCTTCCTGCCTCCAGGTCCAGTGTTCCATCCACTCTGCCACCAACATTTCTGTCTAATTACGTTGCTTAGCCCACACTTCTATGTCTCATCCATAAAAATAGCATGAGA